AAGCTGAGCGCGGAGGAGGAGGGGGAGGAGGAGGCGGAGCGGGCGCAGCAGGCGAAGCGAGGGAAACTTCTGTACGTTTCTTGACTGGGGAAATGGAGTGGGGAGGGAAGGAATGCGGGGGGGAACAGGAGATGGGGGAGGATATGCGGCTGAGTTTGGAACTCCACTCCTGCTAACCCCGCTCTCCTCTTCCGTGTGCCTTGGTGGTATGTCCGTTGCGACCTCCTGTGCGTGCACGTGTGTCGTTCCATGCGCTCTCACATTCCCATGCGTGTAACTCAATTTTCCATGTGCTCGTGTTCGTGTTCGTGTCCATGTCCCAACCCTGCCCCTGCCCCTGCCCCCTGTATTGCAGAGGCATGCTGGAGGATATTGAGGAGGGGGAGGACGACGACGAGGAGGACGAGGAGGAAGGGGAAGAGGAGGATGAGGAAGAGGAGGAGGACGAAGAGGAGGAGGAGGAGGAGGAAGAGGAGGGCACAGAAAAGGGAGGGGAGGAGGGGAGTGGGAGTGGTTCGAAGGAGGGGAGCGAAGGGAGTGCGGGCAGTGCGGGCAAGGCAGTGGCACCACTGCACTCGTCCTCGTCTGACGAGGAGCGCGATGAAGCATGCCATGCAAGTTGCTCACCTGCCGCCCACTCCTCGGCACTCCACCATCACGAGCCGCAGGTACAGCCGCATCAAAAAGTGCAAGAGCAGCAGCAGCAGCAGCAGCAGCAGCAGCAGCAGCAGCAGCAGCAGCAGCAGCAGGAGTCCCAACAACACCAGCAACAGCAGCCGCTGACACCGCAGCCGCAGACACAGCAGACAGCAGCAGCAGCAGTAGCAACAGCCGAGGGTCCCATTGATCTTTCGCTGTTCAACTCTTCTGCTGACCTGGAGGTGAGTGCTGAACCCACCTGTGTGCTCCACGTGTGCTTCTGCCTTATGCCCCATGCCATGCCTGTCTCACTCTTACCCAGCGGGCCATCCCCTTCCCTCCCCTCCCTTCCCCTCCCTTCCCTTCCCTGTCCACTTCCCCACCCGTATTCTCTCGCCTCTTCACGCCCATCTTGTTCACCCTCCTGCCACCCACCTCTCCACCCTCCACCTCCCTCCCCCCCCCGCCCCCCCTCTCTCTCTTTGCGCAATGCGGCAGCCGTTGGGATTGGAGCGGCTGAAGCAGGAGCTGCAGCAGAGGGGGCTCAAGTGTGGCGGCACCCTGAGCGAGCGAGCAGCGCGGCTCTTCCTACTCGCCAGCACGCCTCTGGACCAGTTAGACCCCAAATACTTGGCTGGGGCTGCTGGTGGTGGTAAAGGCCGCAAGGGCAAGGGCAAGCTGTGACTGGGAGAGAGGTTAGCAGCGCGGCTCTTCTGCTCGCCAGCACGCCTCTGGACCAGTTGGATCCCAAACTCCTGTCTGGGGCTGCAGGTGCTGCTGGCAAGGGGGGCAATGGCAAGGGCAAGGGCAAGGGCAAGGGCAAGGGCAAGCCGTGAGTGGGTGGTGGTGGGATGCAGTGTTGTGTTGTGAGAGGCTGGGAGCTGGTAGTTGCCTGCTGTAGATAGCTATTGCTGGCAGTGCCTTCCGCTTTTGGTTGCTGCTTCTGTTGTGGCAGCACTGTGGTGGTGAATATCATTGGCTGTCCACATGGCCATTTTCTTGCTTTTCATTTACTTGTTACTGCTCGTTTTGGCTTCCCACGACAAAGCTTCGAAAGCTTCGCATGTAAATCCTGCATTCTAATACATTTTCTCTTTTCATAAACACCAAAACACTACAAAGGTTTCATGTCCTGAACTGCCTTTCACTGTGGTGCACTAACCTAGTACAAAAATACGTGTGCTGTGCCGGTACGGTACCCTTCCCCCCACGGCCAAATACCGGTATCATTAATTACACAGAACAAGTGTGACATAATACATAATACATCCGTGCCCGAACTTTAATTATCATACACACATGTACAGTTGCTTTGAAACGGAAAAGAGAGGCCCTGAGAGGGGCATGGAAACTCTAAAGAAGGATGTGACGTGCCGCTTCACGCTCATGCCAACTGAGAGGGGAGGAGGGGAGCGAATATGTAGGGGGGAGACAAGGGGGGTGGAGTGCAGAAAGGAAAGGGGGTTTCCCTCATGGAGGTTGGCCCACGTTGCATCAAGCTCATGCCAGAGGAGGGGAATGGGGGAGATGAGGGGTGAAAAGGGAAGGGGAGAAAAGGGAAGGGGGTAGGGGGAAAGGATCTGAGGGGGTATGAGAGGTAAAGAGGAGAAGAGCAGAGAGCTAAGGGGAGAGTGGGGGCGGGGGGGGGGGGGGAGATGAGGGAAGGGAAGGGAATACGAGGGGAGGGCGGGGGGAGATGAGGGGAGAGCTGGGGGAGATAGGGGGGTAGCGGGCGGAAACGAGGGGAGAGCGGGGGAGATGAGGGGAGAGCGGGGGAGATGAGGGGAGAGCGGGGGAGATGAGGGGGGATCGGGGGGAGATGAAGGGAAATCGGGGGGACATGAGGGGAGACGAGGGAAGGTCGGGGGGAGATAAGGGGAGGGCGGGGGTTGATGAGGAGGAGAGAGGGGGAAACGTGGTGAGAGCGGGGGAGACGAGGAGAGGGAAGGGGTGAACAAGGTGAGCGCGAGGGGGATGAATAGAGAGCGCGGGGAGAGAGGGAGGAGAGATGTGCGAGAGAAAATGAGGAGAGGGGAAAGGAGACAGGGGGTGGGAGGAGGGGGGGGGTGGGGAGAGGGGGGGGGGAGAAGGGGTTCACGGCATGACGTTTCGGATATAACGTTTTTGCGTTTGGCAGCTCGTAAAATCTGACATTGGCGACGGCATATAACATGCTCGCCGAAATCCGAGGTTCGCGAGAGCGTGTAACATGCTCGTTGATCTCTCTTCTCCCTCACCCGCCCTGCCTCGCCGCCTCTTGCCGTCCAATGCCTCCCTTCCATATTGAGTTAATCTCGTGCCTCTCTTGCGCAAGACTAGAGCGCTGCGCTTCGCCTGCATGACGAGATCGACTGAGACCGCAAAGCCGACGCGCTCTCAAGTCCGGCATGATAAGTATCCGCAAATCGACACTATTCCTCCCGCGTTTCGTAACCTAGAAATCGCTGGATCTTACGGCCACTGGCTGCTTCACTTGAATCTAAGACCAGTACTTGTTCGGCTATTAGACGTGGGAAGCAGCTTCGGGCCAGGTACTATAAGGTGGAAGCGGCTAAAACTGAAGCGCGACCGAAAGCACGACTGGTAGAGGCTACGGCAACAAGAAACGACTCGAGGCACTCCTGGTGATTGGCGAAAGAACACCAAGAGGGTAATATCTTGCCTGCCTCCGTGATGCGCTGGAAGGGGAATGAGCTGGAGGATGAAGGATGAGGGCGAACAACATCCCCCAAATCTATTGGCTCGCATGATTTTTTCTCAATCACCACTGGCTATTTTCAGCTGCCCCGATCAAGTTCGCAAGGAACAAAATGAACCGCGAGAGCACCTGAACCTTCCGTTCACAACTCTAGTACCAATTTCAACGCAATCCCGCACTTCACGCACATTTTTTCCCGAATACTCATAGTCGGCCTCTAGATGTAAAATACGCGTGCCACGTCACCACCTCCTAAAAAAACCTTTCCTGCCCCAGATCCAAACCAGCTGTACCCGATATCAGTGTTCCCGTCAAACCACAACACATTGATACGCGCCCCTCAGCAAAACCGCTTATAACTATGTTCAAACCAAAACACATAACTTCACCATCGGCACTCTGAACTGTACAGTTCAAATTGGTTCAGGATGCCGGGTCGCGTTGGGCCGCCTCCAAATTTGAGTCCATTGGGAACACTCTCTGACATTTTCTAGGCAAAAGCTCTCTCTCGCGGCGCCAGCCACCACACCACACCTTCCAACACAAGGCTCCACCAAATCTTCACCATTCATCAGCGGCGGCAAACATCTCCGCCATCCGTTCAATATATTGCACACTACCTTGATAGTACTGTAACGGCACCAGAGCCTCCGCGTTTGATCGCAGCGCACCGTACTCAGCAACTAACAGCGGCTATCATCGACCAAAGTACATACACACATGGAAAATGTTAACCGACATTTCCAAGGTGGGAAATTTCAATGGTAGCGGCGACCATCACACCATGTCCCATCTTTATGGCGAGGAATCTTCACGATTCATCGGTGGTGGCTATCATCTCCACCATCCGTTCATCATGAAGTCGCCTCCTGTAACCCGCAAACTAGCCGCACCCCGTCCCGCGCTGTAGCAGCAGTGAAGGTCCGCGCCGCGTTGCGCCACGCCTCACCACCAACGGCAAGTTGAGTCAGCGCGGGAATCATCGATTATTGATATCATACTTCCCGAACTAGCTGCGACGCAAAAAAACTCAGACGCGCCGCGCCGCTTGCGCAACCCGCACCGCACCCAGATGATCGTTACGACGCAGATGATCGTTCCCATCGACACACTCCTCCTTCCAACCACCTTGAACGATCGTCCCTTTCCTTCCATCAGCTTGAGCGCACTGGGTCGTAAACTTCATTCTCGGATTAGAACCTTCCCAATTAGTCCGTCGGAAGGATTTTTCAGAGGAGCTCCGACTCAAATATTCCCAATCATTCTCAATGATCTCCGACCCAGTGAGCTCTGTCCCAATGACCTGTGGACTTCATGCGACAAGCTCTATTGAGCAGTCTAAGCTACATTATGAAGCCACCAGGGCTAGTGCAAGGGAATGGCCAAGGCAAGCAGCAGCGCGTCTTAGAGTCCGCGTAGGTTCGCGTAGGCGTTAGAGTTAGCATAGAGTCTAGAGTCGTGGGTGGGGTGGGTGGGTAGAGAGTCTAGAGAGCTGCTTGCAAGCCTTGGCCGGAACCTTGTACTACGCTCCGTTCTTCGCGGCGAGTACTGCATCGCGCAAAAACTCCCTGACAAGATCTTCACTGCAACAACTCCACCGCGAGAACTCCACCGCGAGAACCTTGGGAGATCTTCACGGCAGAATTCAAGCCAGAATCGGCAAATGCCTCGTCAAACGCGGTGTACTGCTTCGCCCGGCGCTTCTTCCGACGAGACGTCACCGCGAGGAGACGATCTTCACTTCTGGCGGATGGAATTATCATCTCCTTCAAGTGGAGGTAAGTGCAACGCCATTCATGTCTTTCGCAATAGTCATGTCTTTCCTGGATAAGAACTAACGTATTCACTTTAATCCTGCAGACAACCGCCTTGGCGCTTCTCTACTTGACGCATTCAAGCTCAGAGCCTTCAAGCCGACGCGGTTCTACTGCTGGACGACGCTTCTCTCGTCGCGTGGATCTGCTTCTCCCGACGGACGGCGCACGACGCACGGCACCAACATGACGCACAGTTCGCCTCTTGAGGACCGATCTACTTGGTTGAGTGGAGGTACGTCTAACTTCCGTATTTTTCCTCTACTCCTGGATTTATTCTAATTTATTTACCTTCTTCCTGCAGATGATCTCCTCGAAGTTCCGGGAGCTTCTCGCATGGGCCTGCTTCGTCCTTCGCACGCGCCTGGCAAGGACAGAGGCATCCGTCACACGGCGTATGAGGAGCGGTTGGCGTGGCGACGCTTCTACTTTCGCACGGCGGAGCTTTTCTCGGCGCATCAACCTTCATCTCCGTCTCCCTCTCCTGGTAGGTATCGCCAATTTCAGCTGGTTTTCTTTTCTTTTTACTAACTTTCTCTTGTGTTTTCTCTGTCTTACTGCAGAAGGAGCTGGTTGGGAGCTGGCGGCGAGCAAGGGAGTCACACGGGGAGAGCACTCCCTCTCTTGGTGAGTATCGTCTATTTCAGCTAGTTTTCTTTTCTTTTTACTAACCTTCTCTTCTGTTTTCTCTGTCTTACTGCAGAAGGAGCTGGATGGGAGCTGGCGGCGAGCAAGGGAGTCGCACGGGGAGAGCACTCCCTCTCTTGGTGAGTATCGTCTATTTCAGCTAGTTTTCTTTTCTTTTTACTAACTTTCTCTTGTGTTTTCTCTGTCTTACTGCAGAAGGAGCTGGATGGGAGCTGGCGGCGAGCAAGGGAGTCACACGGGGAGAGCACTCCCTCTCTTGGTGAGTATCGTCTATTTCAGCTAGTTTTCTTTTCTTTTTACTAACTTTCTCTTGTGTTTTCTCTGTCTTGCTGCAGAAGGAGCTGGATGGGAGCTGGCGGCGAGCAAGAGAGTCACACGGGGAGAGCACTCCCTCTCTTGGTAAGTATCGTCTATTTCAGCTAGTTTTCTTTTCTTTTTACTTACTTTCTCTTGTGTTTTCTCTGTCTTGCTGCAGAAGGAGCTGGATGGGAGCTGGCGGCGCGCAAGGGAGTCACACGGGGAGAGCACTCCCTCTCTTGGTGAGTATCGTCTATTTCAGCTAGTTTTCTTTTCTTTTTACTAACTTTCTCTTGTGTGTTCTCCTTCTTACTGCAGAAGGAGCTGGATGGGAGCTGGCGGCGAGCAAGGGAGTCACACGGGGAGAGCACTCCCTCTCTTGGTAAGTATCGTCTATTTCAGCTAGTTTTGTTTTCAATTTACTAATCTTCTCTTTTGTGTCTTGTGTCTTAATGCAGAAGGAGCGCGATGGGGAGCGTCAAGGGAGCTCAAGAAGAAAAGAACGATCTCCCTCTCCTGGTAAGCACGGTCCGATTCCGTTGATTTTTTCGTTTTCGAGATTTCTAACTTCGAGTTTCGTTGTTTTGGTGATGCAGGAGGACAAGCACGTGGCAACACCGTCGAGGGAGGTCAAGAAGAAGGAAAAGCTCGCCTTTCCTGGTAAGCACGGTCCGCTTTCGTTCGCTTCTTCGTTTTTCAGATTTCTAACTTTGAGTTTTGTTGTTTTGGTGATGCATGTTGGAAGGAAACGGTGGTGGGGCGGTGGTATGCCCCCAACCCACCGAGGGCACTTCGGTGCCTTCGATCCCTTTGACTAGGGATCGGTGGGGTGGCACCGATTGACTTCGGGAGACTCACCCTTCGGTGCCACGTGGCGGCACCACATTCCAACCTTCAAGTGCAAGGCGAATTCGGTGTGTTCGGTGTGAAATTCGGTGATCGAATTTCACCCCAACCGAAATGTTACACGCGGCGCATTCGCGACGCGAGTGTAGCGATGTGATGTTACATGTGCGGTTCGATGTAATGCATTTGCTATAAATCGATCTGCCTTGTATGCATGCTTTATACTGAAATCCTGAATCTTCTTGTACATGGTCCATTCGAACCAAAATTCCAGAGAGGTCTATCCTTGCTTCTAAGAGCACTAGCAATCACGTGAACGCCAATATCTCGGCGTATACTTGGGCAATTAACGTGTTTGACGGCTTGTTGGAAAGCCAAGACTGTGCTCTATCGTTTAGTGCAACTTAGAGTTCCTGCAAAGTAGAGGAGACGCCTCTACAACAGTGGTATCAGAGCTGGTCGGTAGAGTCTACGTGCACGACTTGTAGCAAGCATGATGACGTCAAGCGAAACCTCCGGCACTTCCTTAGGTGGTGTCGTCTCGAATCCCGGCGAACCCTGGACAAACGCGACGGTGTTCGACACGTCGGCGGTTCCGATTTTCACGGGACAAAACTACTCCGCGTGGAAATTTAAGTTCCAAGTGCTCATGATGGAGCGGGGACTTTGGGGTCTCTTCGACGGAACGGAGAAAAAGCCGGTCAACGAGGACGAGATCGCGGCATGGAAGAAGAAGGACCAAAAGGCGTCCGCAACGTTGATTTCGCGCATCGGCATCAACCTCGTGAGTTCGGTGCGCACGTGCATCAAGCTCGAAGCTTCGGCGCGTGAAGCATGGAAGCGGCTCGAGACGATGCACGTGAACAAGACTCTCCACGGCAAGATCCTAGCCCGAAATGCGTTCTACACGGTGAAGTTGCGCGCGGGCGAATCGATGCACGAGTATGCTGTTGGAGATTACGTGTGTTGGAAGCAAGGTGGTGATGGGGCGTTTGTATGCCCCCAACCCACCGAATGTGTGACTTGTGCTCACCTTCGAGTGAGTTGCAGGTTTGCGTGGGGTTGAGGATTGAATTCGGAAGACCCATTCGATTCGGTGCCACATGGCAGCACCAGGAACATTCGAGACCCAAGGAGAATTCGGATCGGTGAAATTCGAGAGTCGAATTTCACCCTTTCGATGTTACTCGAACATTCGCGAGTGTAGCGGTTCGAGGTTACTTGTGCGATTCGATCTTGTTTGCATGCTATAAATCTGTTTTCTTTGTATTGCATGCCATCATAGTGAAACTCAGAGTTCTTTGTACAAGGTACATTCGAACACAAATTCCAGAGAGCTTCTTTACTTGCATTCAAGAGCACCGCCTAGCACGTGAACGCCTATATCTCGGAGAATACTTAGGCGATCGACGTGTTTGACGGCTCGTTGGAAAGCTAAGACAGAGCTCTATCGTTTAGAACAACTCCCAGTTCCTGCAAAGTAGAGGAGAGTCCTCTACAACATATGCGACTCGTGTGGAGGAACTCGGGGAAACGTTCATGGACCTCGGTGGAACGGTCACGGAGGAGGATTGGATTCTCACCTTGCTTTGCGGCCTTCCGGAAGAGTGGTCGACGGTGATTACGACACTCGATAGCGTGCAAAACACTTGGACGAAGGAAATGGTGGTCGGTCGGCTTCTCCATGAAGAATCGCGACGCCGACAATTCGCTAACGAGAGCGTGGAGACCGCCATGTTCTCCGGAGGGAGCTCCGGAAAGAAGTCCAAGTGGAGCAACGGTGAGGCAAAGAAGTCGTCCGGTGGAAACGGTCGCGGCAAGGGCAACGCATCGAACGGTTCGAGCAAGTGTCATTATTGTCGCAAAGCGGGGCACTTTTGGCGTGAATGTCGGAAGCGGCCGAGCGATTGGATTCCATCGAAGGCGCGGAACCAAGAGGGCAACGCGCACACGGCATCCGGCGAGGCGGATGATTCAATGGAGTCGCTCGTTTTGTTGGCCGGTGACGGGATCAACACTTCAAACGACGCGTGGTTCCTCGACACCGGTGCAACACAACACATGACGCACTCGGCGTCGCTCCTCAACAACGTCGGTGCTCCGGGAGACGTCAAGCGCGTCGTCTTCGGGAACGATAAATCGCTACCGGTGGTTGGAGTTGGGAGTACGCGTCTCATCGTCGATGGCGGGCCGGTGGACATCACGAACGTGCTTCACGTCCCGGGATTGAAGGTGAATCTACTCTCCGTCACTCAACTCGCAAAGAAAGACGTGAATGTCACCATTGATGGCGCGAAGATGAACCTCTTTTGGAAGGGGAAGCAATTCGCGCAAGGCGTTCTCAACGGACAACTCTACCAACTCAAGACGCATCCGACAACGGCCTCATCCAACGTGGCGCAAGGCTCCAAGGCGACTCTCAAAATGTGGCATAATCGGCTTGCGCACGCCAACTACGACTCGGTCAAAGAGTTGGCCAACAAAGGACTTGCGAAGGGATTTGACGTGATCGCCGGCAACGGCGAGAAGGGCGTGTGCGCGGCGTGTGTCGAAGGAAAAATGGCTCGCAAGCCATTTGGTAGCCGTACCTCACCCCTCGCAAAGGACCCGCTTACGCTTGTTCACATGGACGTGTGTGGACCGATGCGGCATGCATCAAAGGGAGGAGCGCGGTTCCTCTTAGTGATGCTCGACGACGCGACGCGGATGAGTTGGACCCGACTCTTGAAGGCTAAGGGAGATGCGGCCAAGGCGATTCAAGAGTGGGCGCTCGACGTTTGCGACGACGGCAAGAAGCGGATCAAGTGCATTCGCACCGACGGTGGCGGCGAATTCGTGAGCAACGAGCTTGAAAAATGGATGAAAAGCAAGGGCATTAAGCACGACGTCACGACACCCTACACACCCCAACAAAATGGAGCGGTAGAGCGGCTCAATCGCACATTGATGGAGGCTGTTCGTTCACTTCTTCAACACTCCAAGCTTGGGAACGAGTGGTGGGGAGAGGCGAGTGCGCTAGCGGCATGGATTCGTAATCGTGTGCCAACAAAGGTGCTACCGGGAACGACTCCGTTCGAAGCATGGACCGGAACGAAGCCGAACCTATACCGCCTACGCACCTTTGGGTGCCTTTGCTACTACCATGTACCGGATCCACTTCGCCACAAGTTGCAACCGAAAGCTCGTGCGGCGATCTACTTGGGGATTGCGGCGAACGAGCGTGCATGGCGAGTGTGGGATTTGGATGAAAAACGCGTCGTCACGTCTCGGGATGTGATCTTTGACGAAGACAAGTTCCCGACAAAGGAGAAACAAACGCCGCAACTCACCGTCGTCCTTCCCGCACGAGAGGAGGATGAAGCGGTGGAGGTTTCACCGCACGTGAAGAAGGGAGCCGAAAGTGGAGGGGGAGAGAACGAGGAGTGCGATGATGATGTCGAGGAGGTGCCACCAACCGAGGAGGCCACTTCCTCCGCACCTTCTTCCCTACCATTGGCGTTGACTCGCGGGCGTCGTACACCTCGCCCCAACACGAGGTTAACCGACTATGCTACGGTCGCCGTTGGGGAGTCGGATGAGGAGAGTGCGGCGATTTGCCTAGCGACCATCGGCGACGATAACCCACGCACTCACAAGGAGGCTTTGGCTTCCCCGGATGCACCGCTATGGAAGCAAGCGATGGAGAGGGAGTTAGCATCGATCAAGGAGAACGATGTGATAGCGCTTTGTACGTGTTGAAGGAGGGGGAGAAGCAATTGGTGCTTTTGCTCTACGTCGATGACCTCCTTCTTTTCTCCGACTCCAAAGACCTCATTCGAGAGGTCAAGCAACGGCTAGGGGCGGAGTTTGCCATGAGGGACTTGGGACCGGTGACGTACTACCTCGGGATGCACGTCGACCGCGACCGCGCGAACGGGACCATTCACCTCCACAAAGAAAAATATGTGAAAGGGGTTGTGGAGCGCTTCGGCATGGGTAATAGCAACCCGGTGGGGACGCCACTAGACACGGGATTTTCTTGCCTCCCGGGAGAGGAAGAATCCGCCCTCGACGAAGCCGAAGGGAAGCGGTTTCATTCGCTAGTCGGCTCACTCATGTATGCCGCCGTTTCCACCCGTCCCGACCTCTCATACGCCGCCGGGGTACTTGGACGAGCCGTAAACAACCCTCATACCGAGCATGTGCGTGCGGGAGGACGTGTTCTACGCTACCTCCAAGGCACACCCAACTTGGGAATCGTATATGAAGCCGGTCCAATCGTGCTTAAGGGCTACACCGACTCGGATTATGCCGGTGATCAAAGCAAGCGCAAGAGTACCGGCGGGTACGTCTTCACCTTGCTTGGGGGAGCCGTGAGTTGGCAAAGCAAGTTGCAACCAACCGTGGCTCTAAGCACAACGGAAGCGGAGTATATGGCACTCACTCAAGGAGCCATGGAGGCAATATGGCTACGGCGCCTTCTAGCGGAGCTTGGGCATCCTCAAGCCGACCCAACTCCTCTCTTTTGTGACAACCAAGCGGCCATAAACCTCACTCACAA